CTTCTTTCCAGCATGTCTGAGTCCTAAAGCTATTTGTGTGGCCACTGTACTTTTCCCAACTCCACCCTTCCCAGACAAAACCAGTATGACATGCCGAACTGCAGACAAGTGGTCAACAGCACTCTCTAGAATTCATTGATAAATCATTAATTATTTAATACATTGGTGGAGAATCAATTACACTTATCATATCCATAAAAGATAACAAAGATTTAATAATAAAAAATAAAACCTTAGTTCAGTGAGACCTTTACAGTGCACTTGAAAAATATACAAAGCTTAGTTTTTAAACTTGTTGTTGCTGCTTTTTGTACTGTAATATGTTTTCTTTGAAATGTAAAATACATATCTCAGTGCAAATATCATATATATAGCAGGGCTTAATAGCAAGAGCAGTGACACTCGCTAGTGCAAGTTCATAAAGCACAGACTTGTCGAAATTTTTTAATCACTGTCAGACATTTGGTCTAACAAAGTCGAATGTTCTGTTGGACCAGTCAAACTTTTGTCAGACCAGATACTTGTACCTTATTTTGATGCAGAAAAAAATCATATGAATAACAGCACCAAAATCACCTTTTTATACCCCCCACTTAAAAAGCGGGAGGGTATATAATAATCGTTAATTCAGTACGTCCGTCTGTACATCTGTCCGTCTGTTACGCTTTGGGGTACCCATCTCTTATCTGCAACTCCTCTTATACCACTGAGTGAATTTGATTAAACTTTCACAGAATCTTTATTACATAATTGCCATTGTGCACCTCCTATTTTACTTTTTGATCTGACATATTTGTTGGATTTTCCAGAGCAAAACATGGACACTGCCATTTTATTCATATGGGAGGCGGGGGTATCATTTAGTGAGCTCATTGCTCACAGTACCTCTAGTTTATTTTCAATAGCCTTCAATCTTACAAGTTTCCTTTCTTGGGATAGAGAGTCTTTAACATAGACATAAATGACAAGTTTTATGACTTTGCTATAAGAAATTTACTTAGCTATCATCAATATCGCTGCGTACCCGGCCATTTTTCTGTGTTTGTGACCTTTAACTACCCATCCTGATCCCGACCTTTATTAAATTTGCATTACGCTCAATTTTTTTTTCAAATGGTCATCTGGACCGACGTTTTCTTAAATGTTATAGTTCCAGACAAATTTTTACCTGCCTTGCCGACAGGACCGACAGATTTCGACAAGACTGAAAGCAACACCCGGGAAAAGAAAAAGAAAAAAAGAAAATTTTATCCAAACAAATTTTGTCCTCAGTAACCTAAGTATCCATAATCCTTTGGATACTGTATCTCGATCAGCATAAATTATGTTCTTGCAGTATTGGTACAAACACAACCAAAAAAATCACTCACTTTAATTTGATGAATATTGCAGATAAATAGCTAGCTTAAATATTTTTTATCATAATGATATTTTTGGGCATTGGTTTGGTAATGCAACTTACATCATGTACATACAAAGTTATGTGACATCAGAATTTAGAAAGAAACAAAAACAAAAAAACATCATGTGAATGGTTAGAAGAGACAGATAAAGATGCTGATGGTGTCCTTCTATTATATAAATAAACTTGTACTTCCTTTAAATCATCTAAATTTCAATGAATAAATAAATAAATAAAAAATAATAAAAAAAAAACAAAGTCCTAAACTCAGTATTTTGTTCATCACAAAACTAGGAAAAATATCTGCTTAATTTCATGGTTTAGGGAAGCAATACATTAAGAAGGGAAACGTTAAAATTTGGAGAAAATTTTCGTCCTTTTTTCAGAAATCTGAAGTTGATCTTTTATCATTTATCTGTTTATGTCGGCTAAGACCTGTTTCATATCGTAACATATATATTTTTGAAGAAATGTGAGAAATTTTTATGCAATTGGCCTTTATTTTTGCATGATACATAAAAATATACCATATAGAAAGCACACTTTAGAAAAATATACTCGAAGAAATTGTAATGTTAACTCACCTGTCATGGGCGCAGACATTTTTGTCTTTATCAGGAAGACGCTTGCGTCAATGTGACGTAAGCGCTTTCATTTTCCAGCAACAAACGCCAGGAACGGATGCTTTGTTGACAATGGAGCAACTTATATCGAAGTCGTCTCCGTATTTTTATCCCTTGTCACTGGGATTTACTGCTTTAGTTCTTGTCCTTTCAGTCATGTTTACATATAAAAGATTTCTGCAAAACAATCAACGCCCACAGGCTCTGAATGAAAAGAAGAAAAAGGATGAGAAATGTACACACGCTCAACAGAAAACACACACTGACCAATCTCAAACTGAAGATGCCCCCGAGGAAGTTGGAGGTAAAATATTGTGTGTATATTCATGATTATGCAATTATAAAATTAATATTTTGATTTTTGAACATCAAGATCCGATTTCAAATTAGCAGCAATTATCACTTGTCTGTATCATGTTTATAGATGGTGATGCCCCTCTGCTTTCTTCAAACCTTCAACCAGAGATAGACCCCCTGACTTACTGTGAACACATACAGAGTGAAGTAAAAAAGGCCAAACAGAGGGTGACTGCAAAGAAGTTCAACAAAGATCTCACGGAGGAACAGATCGAGGAAGAGAGAGAGGTTCAGAGGAAACAACTCCAGTCCATATTCGAGTTGATGCAGACCGAAAGTGACAGATTTGGCATCAGCAGTCTGGAAGATGTTCAAAGTCAGATGAAGCTTTATGCATAATTACTGTCTCTTGATCAATTTTGATCACCATATTTCCCCAAATTTAATGCATATTTTTTGTTCTCCAAATAGTTTGCATTTCAGAATGCTCCACTAAATGAGCATTATTATGAACAAGAGAATTAATTCTTCTGTTACCTGTAATTTTGTTTAGAGATACAGTTTTTGGTACATGCTATATTTCAAAATGTCCATAAATGGTACCTATACATTATTAAAAAAAAGAGATCTTTTTTAAAAAAAGAAGTGCATTTTTATCACATTCCTTCATTGGTAATTCCTATTTCATTTTTTTAAAACTGATTTTGTCATACAGATCTTTATTGTAAATACTTCATAATTAAGTTATTGTTGTATGTCATTAAGTGTTGTTCCTTTGTTTTTGATATTGTAATTTTTCTCTATTGGAAACATTATGTTAATGATTTCTTACATTCTCAATGTAAAATAGTTTGTTTTTTTTTTGACGGTATACATTTGTAATTGTAAAAAACATTATTATGGTTTAATTAAAATTTCAATTTTCAAAACTCCTTTTGATTTAAAAAAAAAACTGATGATCTTTGTTTTAATAAATCTTTTTTTTTTTTTTAATTGATCACATTTTCTAAGAAAATAAGTTTTCTTAAGGAATTAAAAAAAAATTGATTATCTTTTTAATTAGTTTTCAGTCAGCAGCAAGTAATTTAAAGCCACAAAAAGTTTGTTCATTTGTGATTTTTATGTAATAAATGCACACACCACAATGACTAATAAATCAATGCAGATAGGAGAAGAAGTATTGGAATTGTATTTTACCTTGTAGTCAGTGGTACTTGGAAATCTTTAATCTTGTAATTTTTTCTCAAATTTGATTTTAGTGGGAAAAGAATAATGCCTACATGCACATAAATTTTTTTTTAAGAATAGCCACAAGATAATGTTTACAAAACTGATTATGTTATATTTCCGTCCTAGTTTTTTATAGCTCAATGTTGATGTTATGTTTCAATATTTTGACTGAGTTATTTGAATAAATGTTTATATTGTTTTACTCTTACTTGCCTTTTCGCGGATTTTTTTTCTTTGAAATTCAAACATTATTAATTTTCCACACTGAGACAAATCAAATGATAAGGAAAACAGATTTCAGTTTCAGAAGAGTATTGAACACGGTATTTGTCATTAGGATGCTAGATGATGTTTGATGCTTGATATGCATTAATAACCTGTGAGAACGCTTGTTTACAAGCAATTATGCAACATAACTTGACATAGTTTATAGCTTTTATTTAATAATGAATTCACAATTATTTCCAATGGATGACAAAAATCAATTGTTGAAGAGTTTTAATGAATTGGACATTGCACAGAGAATGTGATTGCCTTTGTGTTCCAACATATTTTATTGTCATGGTATTCATTCAAGGAAATACCAATAATGCTGTAGAGCAACTTCAGTTCCCTCAGCTTCCTCTCCAAGACATTTGATCTTATGTTTGTTTCTTTAGTTCTGCTTTCTAGACTTAGGACAAGAGACAGCTTACACAATTAATTGCTCTGTTTTAGGTGTAGGATGATTAGTAATCACACAAAAATCAATGATGTTTTAATATCTGCAGTATATCAATCAGGCTTCTCAGTTTTTCACGATATGAATATTGACTCCAAAGACAATGATTTATTTATTTATATGTAAGTCTGAATATCATTATACACTGTATTAGGTATATTTCTTCACCAGTATGTTTTTAATTTATCTCAACGAATCCCATGGGAGGTGCACTTTGACTAATGGATCATTAGAAACATATAACGCGATCTTACTGAGTTTGACAGTCTAAGCATTTGGAAAATAGAATTTTAACAATTTGAATTCCATACAGGTTTTCAAGAGTAAATGACAGTCACTTCTGGCAAAGACGCGGACGTTTTTAAAAGCTTTATTGAATTAATGAAAATATTAAGGTCATAAAAAGAATTGAAATAAAGTGAAGTACATAAATTTTCCATATCAGGTTAAAAACAATGTACCCAGTCCCTTTGACATTTATGCCTTCGATAAATAAAATGAAATATGCACGAAAGTAAGGAAGATTCATTAAACTCATAAAAAATTATGAAACGACACGAATTTGTCGAAGAGTAAACGCATATCGATTTTTGTAAAAAAGGGGATCAGGTGTCATGGAGGAATAAGCATACCCTGTCGACCGGTCGTACCCACCCTGTGACCTTGTCATTGTTAGAAAAACAAAAATAATACATAGACATTTCATCGAAAATTATGGCATAATAATTTGTAAAAATCCGTCTGTCAGCATTCAACTTATACGATAGATTTCATTTGCTGACAAGATCATTGTACCGCTCAAAGATTTTGTGAAACGTGACTTTTAATGAGACTGTTGATATTCTTGTTTCATTAACGTATTTGTCAATTATATTGTCTCACTTTTAGAAACTGTTACGCTCCTGCGTATCGAACGTAATGGGATAACTTCATGTGCAGGTGATACTGGTCTGTTGCTTTATGAATAAAGGGAGTTGTCGATAGAAAAGTTAAATTGAATTAAATCTGATTAAAATCAGGCTTCTTAGATCCGCGCCGTATAAACTTTTTTGGAGAGTACATACGATGCGGACTAAGAAGTCTGATTTTAATTAGATTGATTGAAAAATTCACAATGAGGCCATTCCAAGTTTTTTTTCTATGTTTTATAGCGTCCAACCATCTTTCAAAAACCTACTTACCTATTCGCAAAAAACACACAGGTCAAAAAAGAAAATACAGACTTTATAGTCATAAAAATAAAGTCTCTCAAAGGATTTAATTTCAAAAGAATATTTTTTCTCCTTTCTAGATCTATTCTTTAGCAAAATCCATGTACTAAATGCTTAAAATATACCAAATATGAAGAATTGTAACAAGATTATAACAGGAAATGATAAAATTCAAAGATTTCGACAATAATCAATATCGGTTGTTCTGATTTTTTTTATATTGGGTGTCAAAAACCAAGTCGCACGCGGACGCTTAACATAGAAGAAACTTGGAATGGCCTGAAGGGAAAAAAAAATTGTCTAGAGACGTGCGGAACAGCTTTTGTTTAGTCAATGCTGTAATGTTCCGAATGCTGCAATAATGACGTCACAAAGGGATTAAACGTCACAATGATCATGACGTTTCGTTTCATCTCTCATCACAACGCCAACACAAAAAGAATGCACACGATTTTTAGCAGCGTGAAGATAACATAGTAAGTGTTTTTCTTTTTGTCTTACATTTCATCAAAGCATTAACATTTATCTGAATATATCTTATGATAATGAGTACATATATTACTTTATCCAAATTTATGATAGATCTAATTCTTGCATTATACTTCTTCTTTCAGTTTGCTAGGGGTGAACTAGAATGGGCAGAGATGGTTGATCTATAAACAAACACCTCAACATCGTGAAAATTTTGAAAGATAAGTATTTGACTCTCTTTTGATAAAAAAAATATATTTAACGCGTTAATGGCACTGAGTTATTGTATGAACAAATGAATATAGCCATGAGATAAGCATCACTTTCATGTACCTTGTCACGAAATGATTATCAAAATATATTTCATTTTGTACAGCCCATTATGTAAATCTATAGAAAAAAACACCTTAAAACTGGCATAGTTACAGAACATGGACTTATAAATAAGCGCGCTTTTAAACTGCTTAGCATGCTAGATCAAATACAGAAAACTAAATGAATCCTGCTTGGTTAATTTCACGCATGTTACAATCAATATGCATAACGAGAAAGTCTTGGGACGTATAATATTTGCCTGCAAAAGATATAAAGACGCTCTGTTGCATTTCATGTTGCATCCAGTAGACACAAGTTTTATTTTCCTGGTGCACTGCATGTTGCAACCAGTAGACATCATGAAAGTCCTGATGCATATCGTAACTGCATACAGTAGACTTCATGACGCGGTCCTGGTGCATTGCATGTTGCATCCAGTAGACACAAGTTTTATTTTCCTGGTGCATTGCATGTTGCAACCAGTAGACATCATGAAAAGTCCTGATGCACATCGTAACTGCATACAGTAGACTTCATGACGCGGTCCTGGTGCATTGCATGTTGCATCCAGTAGACACAAGTTTTATTTTCCTGGTGCATTGCATGTTGCAACCAGAAGACATCATGAAAAGTCCTGATGCATATCGTAACTGCATACAGTAGACTTCATGACGCGGTCCTGGTGCATTGCATGTTGCATCCAGTAGACACAAGTTTTATTTTCCTGGTGCATTGCATGTTGCAACCAGTAGACATCATGAAAAGTCTTGGTGCATTGCATGTTGCATCTTATCGACATCTTTTTTTTAATTTGGTGCATTGCATATAGTTACAAATGAAATCATTAAAAAAGTTTTGTTGTAAATACAACTAAAAACAGTAAATTTTATGACGCAGACTTTTTTTTGCTACCAGAGTTTGATGGGTTGGGACATGGTTCAGGCAGGTAGGGGTTAGTGTTACCTTTAAGTGTTTGTATTGAACATATTTTATTGACAATTAAAGTCAAAAGGATAAGACACAACTTCTACAACAACTTAGATAGTCTCCTGCTTATACAAAATTTTATAATATTGCCAAAATAAACAACAATTATTTTCAGTTACATGCTTGTCTATGGAATAGCATTACTTCCAATACTTGACATAATGAAGCGGTCTTATTTCCTACAATTAAACCCGGATAAAGTTGATAGCATGTGTGAACTTTGTAAATGTAAACTTTTAATATAAAGAATTATATTCATTTAATTTTAGAATCAAAAAGTACTTTTTGATAAGTCGAAATGGATAAAACGTGAAGAACTTTTATTTCCCTGATTTGATTGACCCTGTAAAAAATGTGGTTAGCAAAACACCGTAAGTACTCAGGCGTATTGAAAATCCATGAAATAAATGGATGAATTACAACTACAGTATTGTACTGGAGGATTGGACGATTAATTTAAAAAGAATATTTTACATTACGTGTACAAATGAATTTTATTAATTTAAATTTATTGTAGAAAGAAGCGGAGAATCAATCGGATCACACTGTGTTGTCTCTGTATGAGTTTGCTTCCAAGGTCAAGAATACGGACATCAACACGAATATCGATGTTAAATGTCATTTCTTTTATGTAATTAACCACTATGATAAATTCAGTTCTTCTAAACTCTGCATATGATATTAAAATGTTACACAGATTTAATTTGTTTTTTTTTTGTTTATTGAAAGAAAAATAATAATGGTGAAGTTGAAAACAAAATCAAGGTGAAAGGGTCAGTATTGTTGCTACCTAAAGGAAGTCATACACTGCACACTTGCTTAAAATGTAAGAAGTGTTCAGGGAATTATGGTTTTTGGCAGTAAAAACGTTATTTTCGAATCCTATTTTACTCCTAGGGTTAAAAATAAAATATCGAAAACCTTTGGAACCCAGCGATTATCCATCAAAAGATGACTTGGCTACTGCATAAAATGTAAGGATTAGTCCTGGGAACCAGATTTATTGAGAAAAACGTCATTTTTACCTCATCCGATTCCAGGAAGATGATTTGATTCAAGGATGAAAATTAAAATTCCAAAACCTTAATTTTACATACACATGAAACTATATATACCAATCTTCTCAAAGATGATGAGGTTACTGAGGAAAATGTAACAGGAGTTCACGAAACCAAGTTTTTGTAGAACCCCCCACATTTATCAAACCTCGTTTATGGATATGGAGGTTGTGTCTCCAAGTTGATTCAATAAGTAAGTACATGCTCTACGTACAAGAAATTTCTAAAACAATGCAAGCTTATGACAAATAAGTTGTTGAGACAAAGATATCAACAGTCTTGTTTGAAGTCACAAACTTTCTGGTCGATACAATGACCTTGTCAGCAGATAAATCTATCCTTAAATTGAAAATTGACATTTTCATACAAACTTTGTTTGCACTGAATTTCCCGTTTGTCCGATCTTGACAAAGAGTGCAATGCTGGAGTTACTGGT